CAACATGGCGAAACTCCATCTCTATCAATAAATACAAAAAATTAGCCACTAACTTCTGTAAAATAGGTCCATTCATTGCAGGATCTAAGTGTCACACCTGACTTCAGAGGCCTTGTTTGACTAACCCCATGTCCTCTTTGCCTCTGCAATGCCTTTTTCTTCTTTTTAGCAATATGGCTCTGAGCACAAAGGTTTGATTGGAAATCATGTTCGGGTTTTCAGAGTTTACAGTGTCGGTTGTACTGAAAACCACTTTCAGAGTCTAAAGCAGCTCAGATGTTATCTCTGGGGGAATTAATGTTCCCCTAATTTAGCAACCTCCATACCACAAGGTCTCTATCTGTAGTTACTGGGATTATCCAGATACACTATCAATGATACAAATTCATAGATGTATTAATGCATTTCTTTAAACATGACTTGATTAAGAAGCAGATATGTTAAGCAGTTTTCTTTTTCTGCTGCTAAATTGCAGTTAGACACTTCGATATCTTCTCTACATGTGTATATAAATTAGTAAGAACCTGCATTCAAAGCAATGTATTAGTGTGTGTATGTATCTATATATATTTATTCTAACTCAGCACTTCAGAAGCCTTTTTGAGTTACAACAATATTTTAGTTTGCTTCATCTGTAGAGGTAAAAGTTCTGTATTACCAAGCTCCAGAGGAATATGATATTTTACAGGCACAATTTTCTGGCTGTAGCCACTGCGGCATTCATTTGCTGGCCTCCATGGGATGCTGTTAGAACAATGTTAGCCGGCAAGAGAAGAAAGGGTACCAGGACAGCATTTACAGTTGTAGAATGGGAGCCTTCTTCCCTCTCCCCTCCACTTTCATTTTAGCATGAGAGAAAAAAACAATAGATTGGAAATGATTGTTGCATCTCACTTCATGAAAGTAGGGGCATAAGTTCCCTCTGGATCCTTTTCTTGACAAGCAGTCAGGAGGAAGGTCCCCATACACATGTCCCTGTGTGATACTTGGTAGTTTCTGAGAATGGTGCTACATAAGCGTTGCTGTTAGGCTGGGATCCTATTAACGAATGTTCGGTTAGTTCAGGCTTCCCAGTGGCAAAGGCAGACACCGTGGAGATGGACATTTACTGACTCCCCTTCTTTGTGGCTTCGGTCTCCCTGGCTAACACCACACCTGTGCGTACTGCGCTTGGCCCACTTTGCTGCAGAAACACAACGAGCGTTTCATGTCAGCTACAGCTGAGAGCAAAAACTGCAAAAAAAAGTCTCATTGGATGCCAGTTGTCTGATACAAATGCAGTGTCTTTTAAGTGACAGAAACACACCTAAATACCTGCAACTCAAGCTCGCTAGCATTTTTTTTCTGAGTACTTGAGATAAAATCCAAAACCCACCCTCTAATTTTATGCTGTATTTATATATATGTACATAAATGTATATATATAGAAATGTCGAGTTCTTCTGGATTCTGAATGTAAATAATTCTTGTAAATTGGGACTCCGCCCACCTGTTTCTCCCTTTTCCCTCTTCCCTTCAGCTCTATTTATTCTTTTCTTGACTTTCCCATATGGGGCATCTTACGACTTTTTTTGTTTTTTGTTTTTTGTTTTTCATTTAGAAAAGTATGGAAAACTTTTCATTTAGAAAAGTATTTGTTCCTGTATTTTAGAATTCAGTTTTGCATCTTTGCTGTAGAATTGCTGGTTTGTGTTACTGTTTTTTACTATGTCTTATTGTGTTTTGCATTTTTATTGTGTGCAATGCATTGTACTGGGGGGATGCACTTGAGCGCCGTTTCTGACGCTGACATTGTGTGGCTGCTCATGCTCCTTTATGTTCTTTGGAAGCTGTAGTGAGCCTGATGTTTTCACATTGTAAAAAATGCTTCCTGAGACTTCTTTAAAGCTCCTCTAACTTCTTCAGTGCATTTGGGATCAAACTTAGCTCTTAGATCAGCAAACCTGACTTGCTCCTACTTTTGCAGTTTTTCAGGCCTTACCATATTTCTTATCTCTGGCTTTCCACCTGATAGGAAAATCTTGCAGATTTGAAACAGTGGTTTCTGGCCTGCTGCTGCGGCAAATTCCCTATGTTTATTTAAGAAGTTGGGCCTATACTTTTAGCCTACGAATAATGAGTGATACTTGCAATGAACACAGGTAGCCTGCTGCTGTTTATAACCTGTTGAGGATATTTATAGCAGGCAGGAGGCAGACCTAGGGTGTTATTGACAGGTGACTTTAGAGAATGTACATCGGCGGGGCGCGGTGGCTCACGCCTGTAATCCCAGCACTTTGGGAGGCCGACGAGGGCGAAGCACGAGGTCAGGAGATCGAGACCATCCTGGCTAACATGGTGAAACCCTGTCTCTACTAAAAATACAAAAAAAAAATTAGCCGGGCGTAGTGGCGGGCGCCTGTAGTCCCAGCTACTCGGGAGGCTGAGGCAGGAGAAAGGCGTGAACCCGGGAGGCGGAGTTTGCAGTGAGCTGAGATGGCATCACTGCACTCTAGCCTGGGCAACAGAGCTAGACTCTGTCTCAAAAAAAAAAAAGTGTGCATTAAGGAACAATTGTCCTCCAAAAGAGAGCCAAGCAACTGCTGTGGAGCCTCCTAGGCTGACTCTGCTGGAGGGTGAGAGGCAGGTGCCCACTGCAGCGCTGGCCCCTGGGGTCCCCGGAGCGACTGTGCTCTCCACCCTTGTATCGGCGAGTGGATCTTGACTGCATCAGCCATAAGCCTAGAAGCAGAGCTGGATCGAGGTGTTTTTAATAATTGGAGTTGGGAAGACCCGGATGGCTCATGAAAATGGTGGTGTTTGGCACCCGGGAGGCAGACATTGGGTATTTGTTCACAATTTTGCACCTCTAAGAGCATGTTCCTTTATAGCTTTCAGGAAGGATTGCCGTGAGCGTCTTTGGGGCCTTTCATTCATGTACAAGTTTCATTCATTACTATTCAACTTGGTAGACTTGGTGAAAATGTAAAAGCATTCCATATTTGGATCAGTCTTGGGAACTAAATTTGTCGTGAATTGGGGCCTGTCACAGATTGCCTCCAGTGTGCATCCACCACTCAGACCCTCCTTGCTCAGTCTCCCTCTGGAGCCCATGGAGAAGCTGTGCTGTGGTTGGCAGTGCGGCCATCTGCGCTGCAGCAACATGGCAGGGTGCAGTCCAGCAAGACTGCCCTTTAGTGCAAGGCTAAGCTAGGAAAAGAAGCCCAAAAAAGCAGGTTCTTTTTGGTACTTGTAATTCAGGCATCCTCCAGAGTGAAGGCCACTCTACAGGCCCCTGGTGAGAACCTGCCTGGCTTTTCCACTGTGGGCCCCTAACCAGTACCCTGCCCTTGTGGCCCATTTGTGCCTGGGCAGATGTTTCTGGCCAGCAGACACTGAAGACCTTTTTGCTCTGACAGTATTTATGGCACTGAAGAGGATAAAGAAGCTTGAGCCTCTTTCTGACTCCCACTTTA